TATAACTTCTTTGGAAAACATTCTAGTGGTTTCAAATGGCTAAATATAGGATTACCATATGACCTAACAGTTCCACTCTTAGGTACTTACCTAAGAAAAATGAAAACATATGTCCAAATAACAACTTGTATACAAATATTTGTAGCAGCATTATTCACAATAGTAAAACGGTAGAAATAACCCAAAAGACATCAGTCAGTGAGTGAATAAACAAAATGTGATATATTTATACAATGGAATATTACTTGGCCACAAAAAAGAATGAAATAAGGATTTGTCCTACAACATGGATGAACCATGAAAACATTATGCTGAATGAAATAAGTAATACATGAAACACCACACATTATATGATTCCTTTTATGGCTAATTCATTTCAATGTATGACAAAAACCACTGCAATGTTGTAAAGTAATTAGCCTCCAACTAATAAAAATAAATGGAAAAAAAAAAAAGAACAGTTTCTCTCACAGAAGAAAAAAAAAAATTGTCCAGAATAGGCATAGCTATGGAGATAGAAAGTAGACCTGTGTTTGTTTAGGACTAGGATGATCAGCTTAAAACTCAATATTCAAAAAACTAAGATATTGGCGTCCAGTCCCATCACTTCATGGCAAATAGATGGGGAAACAATGGAAGCAGTGACAGACTTTATTTTCTTGGGCTCCAAAATCACTGCAGATGGTGACTGCAGTCATGAAATTAAAAGACACTTGCTCCTTGGAAGAAAAGCTATGACCCACCTAGACAACATTAAAAAGCAGAGACATGACATTACTACCAAAGGTCTGTCTAGTCAAAGCTATGGTTTTTCCAGTGGTCATGTATGGATGTGAGAGCTGGACCATAAGGAAAGCTGAGTGCCAAAGAACTGATGCTTTTGAACTGTGGTGTTGGAGAAGACTCTTGAGAGTCCCTTGGACTGCACGGAGATCCAACCAGTGCATCCTAAAGTAAATCAGTCTTGACTATTCATTGGAAGGACTGATGCTGAAGCTGAAACTCCTATACTTTCACTACCTGATGTGAAGAACTGATTCATTGGAAAAGACCCTGATGCTGGGAAAGATTGAAGGCAGGAGAAGAAGGGGATGACAGAGGATGAGATGGTTGGATGTCATCACTGACTCAGACATGAGTTTGAGCAAGCTCTGGGAGTTGGTGATGGTCACTCCAGGTGAAGCCTGGTGTGCTGCAATTCATGGTGTCGCAAAGAGTCGGACATGAGTGAGCAACTGAACTGAACTGAGGCTGATCGGGGGTTAGTAAGTGAAAGGTTGTTGATTTCACACACACAGGCACACCACAGAGTTAGTAAAGTATAGCAGAAAACATGTTTACTAGGAGAGTAAAGAACTAGAGCTTCAGTCATCCTTTCCTTGTTTTGAAGATCCCAGACAAGTCCCCAAGATGAAAGGTTGCTGCTGTGAGCTGTGTGTGTGTGTGACCTCCAGAGGAGAGGATTTTGATCCGGGGTCAGAGATGAGGCTTGACTACTTGGAGCTTTTTGTATAGCAAAGTTTTATTAAAGTGTAATAGAGATAGGGAAAGCCTCTGACATACATCAAAAGGGGACAGAAAGAGTGCCTGCCTTCCTAGTTTTTAGCAAGGTGTTTTATGTCTGTTAGAAAGCTATTTATCAGATAAGAGAGATACCTCAAGGCTGAAAGAGTTGCACCAGGCCCCTTTCCCACAATATGCACTTTTGAGATAGGATGGCATGAGGTGTGTCATCCCCAGGCCATAAAAAAATTGACAGGAATACTGGTTTGTTGAGCCATTATCTGCCCAAGGTTTGAGGAAAGAAGAAAAGTCTTAGGGGGAACCATTTTGAAGAAAGGCAAATTCCAAAGCAAATACATAGTTTCATTAACATAAGAAAAACACATTGGTTAGCTCAAGGCAGAACCAGGTGTCCTCAACACAAAATTAAAAGAAGCCTCTTTTAATTTTGTGTAGAGAAGTAAAACAAAGTGCCACTTGCAGTTTATTTCCTCCTGCCACTCAGGAACCTCTGGCCTTCCTGCCTGTTAACTCTCTCATAACTAAAGAGTGCAGGTTTCTCTGGGGGATGATAAAAGTGTTCTCAAGTTGTTTATGGTAATGACAGCACAACTCTATGAATTTACTAAAATCCATTGAGTTATATGCTCTGAATTGATGAATTATATAGTATGTCAGTTAAATCTCTTGAAAGTTGTTGTAAAAACACAACCAATAGACACAGATACTTTACATGACAAATATTTATATAAGCACTTATAGTTAGATTATCCAGCTGAATTTTATTGTCATTTCATTTTTTAAAACTAATTACCAGAAATTCTGAACATGAAATTTTAATTAACCAGGTTCTACCCTCCAGTGTGCTTCTTGTTGGCTTTTTTTTTTTCCCCTTATAGTCTTATTAAAGCAATAAGTTTAAACTCAGGCCTGTACTATGGTGATATGGAATGATATGGAAGCATATGGCACAAGATGCATAGTGATGGGTAGGAATTTTCATCAGCAACAGGAAGCACATTGATTAAACATTTGAAACATTATCTTCAAAGGGTATGACAGTGGCAGGAGAGAAGGAAAAAAATTAAGTGGACTTCTTTCTCATTATGGGCTTCCCAGGTGGCACTAGTGATAAAGAACCTAGCTACCAATGCAGGAGACATAAGAGACTCCAAAAGATCCCCGAAAAGAGGGCATGGTAACCTACTCCAGTTTTCTTGCCTGGAGAATCCCCATGGACAGAGGAGCCTGGTGGGCTACAGTCCACCGAGTTGCAAAGAGTCGGACGTGACTGCAATGACTTAGCATTGCACACTCTCTCATTATGCCAGAATTAAGTTGTTAGTCTTCTGTGGGGAAAAATAACCTCTTCCAAACAAATTCCATAAATGTGAGCAATAAAATAAACTCAAACTGAGTTGAAAAATTTGGTGGAAACATCTTGCAAAAGTCAATTTGCCCCTTGTTAATAGTTTGTAAAAGTTTGACTCTTAAAGCATTATTTAATGGCCATGCTCTCTCTTCTCTTCTTTGATCTAGCAACCAGTTTCTTGAAAGGGTTGGAATAGAAACTATGATCTCTGACATAGAATTACAATTAGAGAAACTCTTATCATTTATATCTCACTGTAGCTACTACCATCTGAAGTATCATACCTAACACAGAAGTCCTACAGTATATGTTTTAATATTGATCTGTGTGTCATTGTTGGAACCATTGGACAGGAAGGCTTTATCAACTGACATTTTAACCATTCTCTCAAGTCCAGCCAAGTCTTCACTGAAAATGCTTCCAGTGTTAAGTAGCTCTAAACTGAAAGAACCCACCCCATATGTCAGTAGCCCATTCCAGCCCCCCTCCAGTACTACTCATGACTTCTAAATTAGTATCTTCTTATGTAAAATAGTTAATCAGAACCTAATATAGAGCAAGGGCTTTCCAGGTAGCTCAGTGGTAAAGAATCTGCCTGCAATGCAAGATATGCAGGTTCGCTCCCTGGGTCAGGAAGATCCCCTGGAGGAGGGCATGGCAACTCGCTCCAGTACTCTTGCCTGGAAAATCCCATGGACAGAGGACCCTAGTGGGCTGCAGTCCATGGGGTCGCAAAGAGTCAGGCACAGCTGAGTGATTAAACAAAACTGTGTAGGACAGGGAGTGCTGCTCAGTACTCGGTAATAACCTACCTGGGAATGTTGTACAGTTGCTACGTTGTGTCTGACTCTTTGCGACCCCATGGACTCTGGCTTGCCAGGTGCCCCTGCCCCTCGCCATCTCCCAGAGTTTGTCCAAGTTCATGCCCATTGAATTGGTGATGCCATTCAACTATCTCACCCCCTTCTCCTTTTGCCCTCAATCTTTCCCGGCATCAGGGTCTTTTCCAGTGAATTGTCTCTTCACATCAGGTGGCCAAAGTATTGGAGCTTCAGCATCAGTCCTTCCAGTGAATATTCAGGGTTGATTTCCTTTAGAATTGATTGGTTTGGTCTCCTTGCTGTATGGGAAAATGAAAGTGAAAGAAAGTGAAGTTGCTCAGTCGTGTCTGACTCTGTGCGACCCCATGGACTGTAGCCTGCCAGGCTCCTCTGTCCAGGGGATTTTTCCAGGCAAGAATACTAGCGTGGGTTGCCATTTCCTTCTCCAGGGGATCTTCCCAACTCAGGGATCGAACCCGAGTCTCCCATACTTCTGGTAGACTCTTTACCGTCTAAGCCACCAGAGAAGCCCAAGTGAAGTGAAAGTTGCTCAGTCGTGTCCAACTCTTTGCAACCCCATAGACTGTATAGTCCATGTTTGAATTCTCCAGGCCATAATACTGGACTGGGTAGCCTTTCCCTTCTCCAGGGGATCTTCCCAACCCAGGGGTCAATCCCAGTTCTCCCACATTGCAGGCGGATTCTTTACCAGCTGAGCCACAAGGTAAGCCCTGCTGTATGGGAATAGAATCTAAAAAAGAGTGGGTAAGTATGTGTGTATGTATAACTGATTCACTTTGAAGTACTGTAGAAACTAACATAATACTGTAAATCAGATATACTCCAATAAAAATCAGTTAAACATAAGTGAATATCTACTTCATCTTCAGCACATAAGGACTCAGGCATGTCCAGTCCCACGTGGACACTGTGGTACCATGGTGACAGGATAATTATTACCCACCCTCATGAAGGCATTCTCCATTGGTCATCTTTTTTTTAAACTTTCTTTTTTTTTAATTAAAATATATATTTTAAAATTTTGCAATGTTGTAATGTTTTCTGCTATATAGCAATACTAATCAGCCATAATTATACATACGCCCCCTGCCTCTCTAGTCTCCCTTCCCTACCCCCTCTCATCCCCCCAGGTCATCATACAGCGCCAGTCATCTTTTCTTACTTTGAGAATTATTACTCTAATCAAAGTAATGACGTACATTAATGTCTTTGCTTACAAAATAGGAAGTATGAAAAGGAATAGTCCATGGCATTGTTCCATAACTTGTTCATTGTGCCTGTAGGCTACTCTGGATATCAGGATTATTACCCATATGGCGCTCGAGGTGCTTATGAAGATGTCCCCAGGAACTACGACACGTACACCGCGGGACTGAGTGAAGAGGAGCAGCTGGAGAGAGCATTGAGAGCCAGCCTCTTGGACCAAGGTAGGGGATTTGCACCCTTCACTTATTTTAAAGTACATACCTCACATGGTGTGATGTCTGAAAAAGGGCTCTTTGTAGCAAATTAAACTTTAAATAGTTTATAAAAAGGAGATGTAGATGAAAAAAATGTGTGCAGATTGTGATTACAAAGAATGGGGTGCGATGCCATATTCCCAGCAACCTAAGCTAATAAGGTGCCAGACTATGTATGTATTGTTAAAGTGGTTCTTTTTATAGGCCTGCTGCACTCAGTGCTTTGGCATTAAAGTCAAGAAACCTAAGAAAAAAATTCTTAGGTACATAAATGAAGGGTTTACATTGGAATGCATATCTATAAGGCAGGCTATATGGCACTGGATATCAAACTGTCGCCAACAAGCCTTCTTCAGAATCACATGGGCAGCTTGGTGAGAATGCAGATTCAGGGTTTGGCTGCAGGCCTGCTGAACCAGTCTCCCTGCAAGCAGAACCTAGAAATTTGTATTTTTAACTGACTTTCAGACGACTCTTTTACCAATTAGTGTATGAAAAGAAAGTGAAAGTGAAGTCGCTCAGGTCATGTCCAACTCTTTGCGACCCCATGGACTGTAGCCTACCAGGCCCCTCAGTCCATGGAATTTTCCAGGCAAGAGTACTGGAGTGGGTTGCCATTTCCTTCTCCAGGGGATCTTCCCAACCCAGGGATCGAACCCGGGTCTCCCACATTGCAGGGAGATGCTTTACCGTCTGAGCCACAAGGGAAGCCCTATGTGAAATAGTATATGAAAACTGCCCTATTTATTTTGCCATCTTTCTTCTAGGTTTGGTAATAAGTTTTGGTATTCCTGTTTTTATTGTTTGTGTGTCTGAGTGTTAGTCACTCAGTCATGTCCAACTCTTTGTGACTCCATGGTCTGAAGCTTGCCAGGCTCCTCTGTCCATGGAATTCTCCAGGCAAGAATATTGGAGTGGGTTGCCATTCCCTTCTCCAGAGGAATCTTCCCAACCCAAGCCTCACACATTGCAGGTGGATTCTTTACCATCTGTGCCACCAGGGAAGCCCTTTTATTGTTTAGTAGTGACTAAAAATCATCTGTTGATTTGATAAGCATTTATTAAGGTCTTGTTATGTTTCATGTACTATGTTAGGAAATACAGAAAGGTTAAAAAAAGGGGGGATCTTCCCCCACAAAGTGTAATTTCTGATAGGGGAGAGGCCTGTTAGATGCCATTGTTCTTCAGTTGCTAAGCTGTGTCTGACTCTCTGAGACCCCATGGACTGCAACCCGCCAGGTTCCTCTGTCCATGGAATTTCCCAGGCAAGAATACTGGAGTGGGTTGCCATTACCATCTCCAGGGGATCTTCCCAACATCTACTGCATTGTCAAGAGGATTCTTTACTCTTGAGCCACCAGGGAAGCCTGCTCAATACCATAAGTAGCCATAATATCAGGTACCTAAGAGAGGCTTCAGCCATTTGCTGGAATCAGTGAGAAGGGGTGAGCTTTTTCTTAACTAGATCTATCAGAGTTTCACAGAAGAGGTGGTATTTGAGTTCATCCTTGAAGAACGTGTAGCATTTGCCGAGATGTGGAAGGGCCTTCCAGGCAGGAATCATATCCTCTCAGACACAAGAGTAAGGGGTGTGGTCATCCCATCCTCGCTTTTGAATAAAGTGCTAAGAGAAGAAGGGGAAGCAGAGTGGGCAGCTAGGCAGGGGCTTGATCGCAGAAGTTGCAGAATTAAATAGGCCACGTGGAAAATGGGTCTGGTGTATGATGTAACCCCCAGTAAGAGTTCTGCACGGGAGAGTGATGTGATCAGAGCTATGTTTCATGGATCCAGCAACAGTCATGCCAGGAACAAGGACTGAGCATGAATGGGGGCTATCGGGCGTTTTACAGCATATGGCGGGAACACACAGGTTCCCACAACTTGGTTTCTAATGTTAGGAATACGGTCTTAGCAGTAAGAGTGTGCGTGGAGGTGAGCAGTGACAGCAAGAGGGAAGACAAATCAGAAGACTTAAAGTAGTCTAATCACGGAGCAAAGTCTGGATGATGAAGGTGGCTGAGGCATTGGAGAGGAAGAGATAAATCAGGACTTCTCAGATGAAGAGTATCAGAACTGTGGTCTGTCAGTCGTCTATTACTGGGTAAAATCGCCCAGACACACTTGGCCTAAAACAATACATACTTCTTCCCCATATAAGGTTCCGCACAGATGATCCCATGGGCCAGGCTTCGCTGGTCTTGGCTGGTGTGCTGAGGTGTCTGCAGTGGTCAGCTGGGGCTGGCTGTTCTAGGACAGCCTCCTCTACCTGCCTGACTGACTGCTGTCTGATGCGATGGTGGCGATCGGTCTACATGTGACCCGTCATCCAGCCGGCCAGCCCAGGTTCGTTCACCAGGCCTCAGCCCGAGGGTTCCCAGGGAGAATGTGGGAACATCCTTAGGCTGGTGCGTTGTTGGTTCTGCTGTATTTTGTTACTGAAGCAAGTCAGGAGACCAGACAAGATTCAGGGGATAAGGAAGGAGATTCCTCCTCTTCCTGGGCAGAGCTGTAGAGTCGCATTACAAAGAGGATGCACGGAAGCAAAGATGGATAACCAGGAATATTCTTGCCATCACCAGCTTTAATGGACTGGCAGTATCACAGTCACTGGAAGCGTGCCTTAGCCTTGGAATCCTAAACGCTGGGACAAGGCCCAGAGGCTGTATTTTAACAAATTCTAAAGGTTAGTCCTGGGCACAGCAGGTGCTTAATCACTCCAGGGTGAGACATGAAATATTATGGGAGGTAAGGATATTATGTATTTAATAATTTAATTTGGGGCAAACCATAGTCTTAACAGAACTGTGTCTGAATTTGTTACCTTGGACTGTCCATTGCATGTAATACGGTATGCTCTATTGGATGTAAATCTTAGAAGTGCAGTAGAAATGTTATCACTGATAAAAATATTAATCCCTGTGTATCACACACACACAAAAGTAAGGAAGTCAGGGCAAAGCTACTAAGCCTGGACTTTGTACAAAACTTTATTTAGTACCATAGAGAGACAACAGGAGGGGATTTTTTGAGTGATGGCAATATTCTGTATCTTGGTCGTTGTGATGGATATATTGCTCTTTGCGTTTGTCAAAACTCACCTAACTGTATCCCACAAAGAACATTTTCCTTAAAAGGAGTTTTAAAAGATGTAAGTAGAAATTAGCAAGAAATACAATGAAATAACTGGTAGTCTTGCAAACAAATACTGTAAAAATCATTAGTGAAAGGTCTTGGTTAGAAATGAACATTGTTATAACTGATTCACTTTGCTTACACCTGAAGCTCACTCAACATTGTCAAATAGCTATACACCCCCCACCAAAACAAGAAAAAGAAACAGGTCATTCACACGGTGATAAAGGGTCACTTCCTAGAGGGCATGTTAATAGGGAAGCAGGGAGACTTAGGATTCATCACCTGAACCCAGTGATCAAACCTGGCAGCATTATTATGGGATGGCCTGATAGTCTATGTCTCCTGATGCGAAGCCGTATGAGGAACACGGCATCAACTATGACGCAGTCCTACTAAAAACTCTTAGTCTTCCAGAGTAAAGGTCCATATATAGGAAATACATGGAATAGAGGAATAAGTCAAGACATATAAAACATGAGGTTTCTACAATTCAATGAGACTGGTCTCCTGGAAAAAAAATCAATGTCAGAAAAAAAGCAAGATGTGATTTTTATATTAAAAGGAAGTAACAAGCAAACACAAGCACCTTGAAAAACTGGTTCTTATAGAGACCTTTTTTGAGGAAACAGAAACTTCGTATTTGGGCCATATGTCAGATGTTATTTGGGAAATAGACTTAACTTTCTTTGAGGTGACAATGGAATTATGGATAAGTAATAGAAGTTCCCTTATTCTTGGGAGGGAGATACCACTGAAGTATTGTATTTGGAAGCAAAGTAATATGTCTGCAACTTCCTTTCAATTTTTAGATGAAAACAGCTCTCTCCTCTTTCTCCTTCTCATTCACTCACTCAAATAAAGGTGAGAAACTGCAAACTTTACCCTGCAATATATCTCTTGAAAATCCAGAATGACAATACTGACAGTTCTAATTAGTTCTACAATTAAGAAACCAATTTATGAAAGTAATGTTTTCCAAACTTACTTGACCACAGAACTTCATTTTCAATGAATGTTTTTAAGAGCATATGGAACTGGTTCCAATGAAACTGATCTGAAGAGATCTCTTAAAGTGTGTATATGTATAATAATGGGCGACAGCAAAGGAAATAACTTCGCAGATTGTTTATATTAATTTCAATTTTATTTCCCTTAAAACATTTCATGACTGTCTTACTAAGCGTGAGAAGTCAAGGAGACATTTTAAAAAATGGACTTCATTATTTTTTAGCCTTATTTCCTGTAGAAAATTGTTTGGTTTATTTTATAACCATTGACCATTATGGTAGGTACCTTTGTTTTGAACCTTACTTTTTTTCATTCATTATTATGTTGTAATCATCTTTTCATGCCATTAAAAACTTTGAAACATACAGATCCTCCATATATTTTCTTAAACTTACACCTGTTTCTTTTTTTTTTTTTAAGACTGGAGATCTTTTTTAAAGACGACAGATCTGGAGATCTGTCGCAAAGAGTTGGACACTACTTAGTGACAGAACCTGCAGGCACAGTGTGTTATTAATAATAGTATTTTTAATTGTGTGTTTGTTGAGATCATTATATATTTTTCTTCTTTAGTCTATTATTAATAACTTAGTAAATAATTTCGATTTTCAAACTCTGTCCTTGGAATTCTCCAGGCAAGAATACTGGAGTGGGTTGCCATTCCCTTCTCCAGGGGATCTTTCTGACCCAGGGATCAAACCTGGGTTTCCTGCACTACAGGCAGATTCTTTACCATCTGATCCACCAGGGAAGCCCCAGTCTATTATTAATAACATACTAAGTAATTTTGATTTTCAAACTTGAAGCAGGTATGCAATCCCAGG